CCCCAAAACCCCAAAACCCCATGACTTTATATGCTCATAAAACGATGAAATTAAACAATTTTATAAGTATTAATTTAAGCTTTAAGTATTTTTAAATAAAATAGCTTTATAATCATTATATAATTTTACTTATATCATAAATAGTTTAATTTCAATCAAGTTTCTTCTTGAAATTTGAGTTCACTTCATTATTAAGTCCTCGCATAATTGAGTAATATCTTTCTATATTTTAACTCAGTAAAATCAAAATCATTGATTATTCTTCTAGAGGAGTAAAGTCATAGAATCCTTAATAAATTCCATGTTATTCTAAATTTCTGTTACTTTAGAGTCAAGACTTTCAATTTTATCATTCAGTCCTTTTCCATATACTTCAAGATTTTCAACTTTTGTATCTAATCCCATAATTTTTGTATCCACTCCAACTACTTTTAAATCAAGATCTTTGCTTTGTGCTTAAAGACTTTGAACTATTGAATCAATTTAAAGGAGGATGCTTTCTTTATATTAGGATTATTATTCTTTTATTAACTTTATTTCTTTCCCGCTATCTTCTGAAGTTTTTTCAAATTATTACTTCAATATTTTAATTTGCTCGCTTAATTCTCCACTCATAAGTTTTAAATTTTATTCATTTCCATTGTCTAACTTTCCAATTGACTATTATAAATTTTGAATAATTTCCCCTTTTGATTTTGCTGATGTCGTTCTTATAGTGTACTTTAAATCTTTGATGAATCCTTACCATTCACCACCATCATTAGACTCGCTTTTAATTTACCTTCTTACAACAATGTATGCAGGAAATAGCTCACTTTTATTTAGATCATCATTTGAGAAAAGCTGTTCTCTTTCAGCTATCATATTTGCCTTAACCTTATATGCCTCAGCAACCAGATTTTACATGACTCTCTCGTATGATTCTGAAATAACAGCAATCATAAAATTCATAAACACAATATTAAGAGTTAAAACTGCAATAAGCCAAATAATCCATACAATTATTACCAATGTTTCATCTAGTAAATGAAAATCTTCTAGTTAAAAATCGCCTGTCGATAATCTAAAAGCCATCAAGAAGTAGGCCAATTTATTCACTCCATTATACTCATCAATTTATTCAGCTTAAAAAACAACTAAAAAGATAATTCCAAACTGAAAAATAAATATCATAAAGAAAATAATAAAGTACTTTAGGTCTTTAAAAACACCTGCTAACATTTGAACTAGAAAACTAAATCCATCATAAATTCTTAGAAAGAAAAATAGTTTCATAAATGAAAGTACTATAACAAGCACCTTAATCAAAATAATTTATTGCTAGTCAGTTTCAGTAAAATCAAAAACACAATAAAATATAAATCCAATGATATGGAAAAAATCAAAGTAGTTCCATCCATCACTAAAGTAGCTCATCTTCTGGACAATTAATTGTTAAGCTTCATGAAAAGTAAAATAAATTTATATTAAGAAACATATAATTTTGGTTAAAATATTCAACCAGATATTAAGTTATTTATCTTAATTTTGTATTTGTTCTGCTTAAACTTGAGCTTTAAAGTTGTAAAAAGTTGAATGAAATATATCGAAAATAAATATAGCCATGAATATTAGGTAAATATAAAAATTAGTTTGATAGAACTTTTTTGTGTAAGTATTCCACTTATAGCTAATTATTGTCTAAATGATTTTATTTTCAAAATATTTTGGTAGTTCTGTTTCTCTAAGTGTTCTCATCAGATCTCTAGGATTAGCTGTTAATGTTTCTGGCAAGTTAATCAAATAATATTCTATTGAAGTCATTATTTGATCTTAAACTATTGGATTATTATAAAAAATTTCATTATGAATCTTTTTAAAATAGTCAAATAGATCATATTAGTCGTCGTGAACATCCTTTGGATGACTCAAGGTTATTCCAGCTAATTTTTCTTGATTATCATTGTGTTAACTTGGAAATTAAATATTATCAATAATCTCATAAATAGGTAGATTACTTTCAAAATAGTCTTATAAGTCTATTTATTGCTTTATTAACTCACAAAAATTCTTATCAACAAGCTAATTAAACATAATGTGATTTTGATATTTTACAATCATTGAGAGAATAAGATTAATAATCTTTTGCTAGCGAGCTTAAATACAAAAATCTAATGCAGATTCTCCCGTTAAAAGATTCTTGCAGATCAAGATGGGTAGACTTTCCTTATTTTTTAGCTAGAGCAATTTAACGATTGTTTCAAGGATAATCAAATTATTTTGAAATACAGAAAAGCAAGTTCCATACCCAGCTATGAAATAAAGATATTTATCAATATTAGACGAGAGTTCGTTGATAATTTCTTCGTTACTTGATGTTTTTATATTCTCATAATCTAAAATCAATTAATCAGTTATTAATAAATCAAAATATCCAACTTTTTGTCTCTCCCCACTTACATAAAATGAAGCATGTCCATTATAGCCTAAAATAATCTTTTATGCATATTTAAAATAAAAAGCTATGTTTAATGGTTATATTAATGGTTCTCTTTTAAAATATGATTCAATTGAGTCTTATATCAAAATAAAATATCTTTAATTATTATCTTATTGATTAAATTATTATAATACTTTCGGGTATTTTTCATTCAATTTTAATTAATTTGAAACTTTGATATCATAAAATTAGGTTTCAGGGATTTATTCAATTATAATTATTTTTTCTAGCATCTTATTCACAAATAACATAATATTCTATGAATAATTGCTATCAACTTGTATATAATTAAAACCAACAAAGATCCCACAATTGCCTTTTATTTCTTAGACTATGAATTTAGTTTAAAGACTCCCGATACTTACACATTCTCTATAATATATTATTATGTGAAGATTTTAATCATCGATAAAAACAGAATTAACATCTTAATGTAAAAGGAGATCACCATGCATTTTTATCTTATTAAACTCTTAAGTCTCTTAATCGAAATACATAATTTATCTCTTTTGGATATCACCCATATATAACTAATTTTCTCTGTTCTATATTATACAAGGTTAGAAAGATGAAAATTCTACTTTTCATCCAGCTTTTTTCCTAAACTAAAGCCATGAAACTTTGCGATTTCCATTGAGATAAAAGTTAAATCCATCTCTTTTTAATATAAAATCCTCCTAATTAATATAATTGACTAATTCCTCTGAATCTTTATAATCATAGGAATAAGAGTCATTAGTTTCATTGTAAGTTGCTACCTCTAAAATCTTAAAATACTCTTCCGCATTAAAAACTTTTTATTTTCTCTCAATAAAATTTAATAATAATTCAAATTAACTTTTTGGAATAGTATACTGCATTCCAGAAAAAACATCTTGAATTAGTTTAAATTCATTAATTCCTTTATTTTCAAACATCACATAATTCTGGCCAATATTATCAAATTATAAATCATATTTATTCTAATAGAGAAGAGGTCAAATATTAAAACTTTCTTATAAATTTGTGTTATATTTTATATGATAAATTTAATTTCTTTCACTAATAATCATAATATACAATTTATGATTGCTTGAATCAATCTAAACTTAAAGATCTTAACCAAATACTTCATGAATTAAAAAATGATTCATTAATTGAAAATCTTTTGAATTAAAGGTCTTAAAAATATTTCCAATTTCATCAATTTTACAAAAAATAATAATTAGAGTCGGAGTAGTAGAAATTTTAAGCGTCTTCAAATTTTAAAATCTAGTAATAGTAAGCGGAAAAAGTCTATGAATCTATTAAAATTTCTTTTTATCATCATTATAATCGTATAAATTGAAATTAAAATCCATAAAAAATCCATATAAATCATAATAACTAATTGGCAAATATGTTTACTTTAGAAAAAAAACTTTTTAAAGAGTTTATTTATTATAAAGAATAATAAAATTTTGTTTATTGTAGCAATAAAAAGCATAAAAATTTTTTACCTAAATGTTTTTTTAAAAAGTCGAATTAGAAATAACATTTCAATAAATGTTCTAATTTTTATCTTTGGAAAATTCAAAAGGAACCTAATATATGAGTTTTTAAATATAAATTTATGTTTAAATGCTATAAAACTTTGTTAAATGATTAGTATTATAAAACCTAAATAATATTATCAAGTGATTTGAATATTAAACCATTATCAAAATTATCACAGATTATAGCATTTTATAATTAAAAATTCTCTTCTTGTTCGATTTCTATTAAATACTCATCTAATCCTTATTCAAGGTATTCTAGTTTTTTTAGGTAAATAATTCCATTTTCATATTAATAAAAGATATAATCAGTATTATTGAAAAACTAATGTATTACATGAGATTTACTTTTAATCTAATAATTATCTTTAATAATCTTGAAAGAACTTATATCAATTATTTCAATAAAACTTTTACTTTAATCATAATTATCCAAAACAATCAATATAAGATTTATATGTTCTAAAACAATGAAATATTTAATACTTCTAAGCACCATTTCGATAACTGATGGTTTTATCAATTGATTGATTCGACTCTCTTTTGAGTTGTCAACTTCTTGAAAATTATCTAATATCCAGCTATAATCTTTGTGAAGTACATTAATTTTTTATTAAACCAATTTATTTTAATTCTCAGAACCCCAAAATTGCTTTAAAATATAACTGTCATATGGATCAAGAGAGTTGTTTAGGTCCATATTTTAAGATATTTAAATATTAATTATATTTTGCTTCGAACTAAGCTTTAAATAGTGCTAAATAAGCTATCTAATTAATATTTTACTATAAATAGATGATAATAATTAAAAGTTTATAATAATATTTATAAAATTAAGTCGAAGTTCATATTCACTCTTATCATGTCTTTTGGGGTTTTGGGGTTTTGGGGTTTTGGGG